TCAGTTTTAAAGCTAATCCATGCTATATTGTATTTCTAAATTTGTTGCTTGCCATCTCTTGCATGACACTGCCTCATATGTACACAGCAATGGTCTTCTCTTCAGGACTACCCAAACATCTATTTCCAAATCATGAGAGTTTTACAAAGTTTCAACTTTGAATCAAGTTCCAGGCTGAAAGTCATATTGCATTTTTACATCAGAGCAAAATTATCTACTTCATTTCAGGAAAACCCATATGAAGTATAACTATATACCTACATAACATACGAAGTATAACATGCAGTTCAGGATAATGCATGCAGTGGAAGAGAGGGAAGAGAGTGGAAGAGATGGGACATTCCTTTACCTTTTGTGCTATTTCTCTAAGGGTGGGATGGTATACTAAGGAGACACCACTTATAAAAGGGGTAGAAAGGATGAACCTGGGGACTACTGAGCTGTCAGCCTCATCTCTGTGCCTGGTATAGATCTTCCTGGAAGCTACATTAAGGCATATGGAGGACAGGGAGGTGATTTGAGACAGCCAGCACAGCTTCACTAAGGGCAAGACCTGCCTGACCAAGCCAGTGGTCTTCTTTGAGGCAGTGACATCAGTGGACAAGGGAAGGACTACAGGTGCCATCTGTCGGGACTTCTGTAATGCCTTTGCCACAGTCCCTCACAACATCTGTCTCTCTAAATTGGAGAGAGAATTTTATGGGTGGACTGTTTGGTGGGTAAGGAATTGGCTGAATTGGTTGCATTCAGAGTACAGGTCAACAGCTCAATGGATAGAGATCAGTGATGAGTGGTGCCCCTAAGGGGTATGTACTGGTGCAAGTATTGTTTAATATCTTCATCAGTGACATAGACAGTGGGATCAAGTGCATCCTCAACAATTTGGATATGATATGAAGAGCCAAGTGGTGTGGCTGACACACCCAGGGGATGGGATCAGGATGCTATCCAGAGGGACCTGCACAAGCTCAAGGAGTGAACCCACAAGTCCATGAGGTTCAACATCTCATGTTGAACATCTCAGGAGGTTCAACAAAGTCAAGTACAAGGTGCTGCACCTGGGTAAGAGCAACTTTCTGTATCAATACAAGTTGGGAAATGAAGGGATTAACAGCTACCCTGTTAAGAAGGATTTGGAGATATTAGTGTCTGAAAAACTGGACAAGAGCTGGCAATGTGTTCTTGCAGCCCAGAAAGTCTGATATATCCTGGGCTATATCAAAAGAAATGTGGCCAGCGGATCAAGGGAGGTGATTCTTCCCAGCCAGTGTGCTCTGATGAGACCCCACCTGGAGTACTGCATTCAGCTCTGGGGTCCCCAGGACAAGAAAGGCATGGTTCTTCTGGAATGGGCCCAAAGGAGGGCCACAAAAGTGGTCAGAGGGCTGGAGCACCTCTCTTTCCTATGATGAAAGGATTGAGAGAGGTGAGGTTGTTCAGCCTGGAGAAAAGGTGGTTCCTGGCAGACCTTACTGCAACCTTCTAATACTTAAAGGGGGTTAAAGAGAGATGAGGAAAAACCTTTCAGTAGGGTCTGCAGTGATAGGACTAGGGGTAATGATTTTAAAGTAAAAGAGGCTAGATTCAGAATAGATATATGAAAGAAATTTTTTATGATTACAATGGTGACACACTGAAACAGGTTGTCAGGTTGTTTGGAGAGTGGATGGATTTCCCATGTCTGGAAACATTCGAGGTCAGGTTGGATGGAGCTCTGAGCAGTCTGATATGGGTGAAGTTGTCTCTACATATTGTGGGGTGGTGTACTAGATGACCTTTAAAGATCCCTCCCAACCAAAACCATTCTATTATTCTGTGATTTAAGAAGGAAAAAAGTGCTACAAACATTTAACTAGACTCAATTTGGACCTTTTTGTAAATCTTCCATTAAAAACCAGAGAAAATAATTCCCCTTAATATCCACATAAGCAGCAGAACAGCTTGAATACGTCTTATCTCAAAAACATGGATTCAGTGTCCCAAGTTGTAAGGGAAATAGTAGACACCAACAGTTTTTATTTGCCTTGTTAGGTGTTTTTTTAGAGTCGTTTTCCTGTGCAGGTTGAACAGGGTACAAAATGAATGTCAGCTAACAGTCCAGGAGCACTGGCATTTTGTCTTATCTATGGAGACCTGATACCATTAAATAAACACAGGGCTTTAATCAGAAGGAACAGAGTAATATTTATCATTACTATATTGTCGCTGTTTAAAATATTGCATCCTTCACAGGCATTCTGTGAGCAAAAAATCATTGAAAACTGCGCAACTATTCGCGACTTCTCTTGTTACTTCTCCATTTTCACTTTTCTTCTTCATGCTTTCTAGTGTGATCCTATCTCACAACAAAAGGTTGTCTATATTGTTTCATTATCTTTTGCCAATTCCTTCCTTCTGTCATTACCTTTAACCTTAGAACATCAAAATGGTGTTCAAACACTGTCCAAGGAATCTGAGACTCAGTAAATACTCTTCTGATACATCACTAAGGTACAGACTATCAATCCTTATGCAGGTATACATGCTTGTATTTTCCAGCATACAATAAAGGCACACGAAAAATCTTAAAAAGGCGAATGAACAAAATTAAGAGCCATAACACAACATTCACTGCAAGACTTGAGGAAGTTGGATCAAAGTTGAAGGTGCTGTTAAGGATGACCGTAATCTAATTTACTGCTCATCAAAAACTCAAGCTCTATGTTACCCTATGCACTGTTTCTCAGGAGTGCAAAGCCCTGGTCCACTTCCACATAAATGGAAAAGTTTTAGCTCTCCTTTGGATCCTGCCTATAGTTCAAAGTAAAGTTTTATGGGCATCTTGGCAGTGGTTTTATGCCACAGGTGGGAGTGAAAGGCTTAGACAATTCACCAAAGAAGCGCTGCTGCTGAGTCAAAAGGTGCAAAAAGTATCCAGTCTTAGCCTCAGAATTTGTCAATGGTTTAAATTTAAGGAGTTATAGAGGTATAGAGGTACGATGACCACTTTTGTCTGAAGGTTTTAATGATGGTAAATTGAGAATATTTATAACATGAATCATTTGGTATTACAAATGATCAGACAAATGAACAGATGAGTGAACAGACAAAAGATCTTAATCCGAATTATTGACCACACAATATAAATGTTAAAACTACTAGTACTATACTATAAGGTAGGATATTGTGCACTATATTGAGGCAGTTATAATAAAGCTAGCAAAAAGAAATAATTATTAAGTAGAGATTTTATGTAATTCACCCACACCAATGCTTGTGGTGAGATCTCTTTCTCTCAACTTTGAGGACTATCCTCGGGGGGCATTCCCACCCCAGTGAGGAATCTCCAGAGGGACACCCCATGAAGGGTTATGTTAGAGGAGCCTGACTGTATGAAAGGGGAATTTTATATTATATTTTATTTTTTATATTTTATACTATAAAGTGACTGAATGACAGTCATTTGACTCCAGTGGTTGCCTCACCATTAGGAGATTAATTTGAATCCAGACTGATTTCAGCATCTCCTGGTTTGATGTGGTACTCCTATCAACTCACCACTGATGCATTTGCAAACAGGGCATTGTCTTGGTCACGTTCCAGTGGGGGAATGTCCTGCCACAGTATCTCTATAGATTTCCAAAGCAGCAACACAAACAGGCATTAACGTATTTCTTTCAATGCAAAACTAGTTTAGTCACATATTACATGGAATTAATATAATGCTCTAGTCAATCCCTAATTGGAAAATGGTTTAGTACAGGAAACACTTGTTCATTTCTGCTGATTAGCAATCACAGCAAAAGTGCAGTAATACTTAGATTACTTTTGTTCTGCAGTGCTTTGCTATTTCTTTTCTAAATGTTTCAAGTAAACAATTATCCTTTAAAGCTTAAAAGGTTCTGAAAATAATTATTACAATTACTGCTATCCATTGTTTGTTGTACTTCAAATTCAGGGTCCATACTCAAGGCTCAGTTGGTAAGTACAGAACATTGGGTCATAAAGCAAAGCGTGGTTCCCATCACAAGCAGTTCACAAGCTGAAGCACAAAATATACAAAGAAGTCTACAGTGATATGTACTGCACAGTCATGGTAATCACACCATGACTGCTCTTCTGATACCATCTTGCTGATACCAACATGTGTGGCTATGTAAAGAAGAACAGCCAAAGGGAATTGATGAAAATTTCACAAGATTGATTTCACCACACATTGTGAAATGCCATCAGTATAGAGTCTTCACATCATATTTTGTTTCTCCTATTGGAAATTGTTTATGCGCAAGTTTATACCACAGTCTTGTTACTATAAGCTGAATCTACGAGCTGTCAGAACATATTATGCATTCTTATAGTCTGTATTCTTACTCCTTAAATCCCAACAACCTAGCAACACTGAGAGCAACATTTATATGACCAGGTTTTCATTTAAAAGTGCTTCTGAGCCAACATTAACTTTCTTCCGTGCCTCAGCCACCACTTTGAAGCAATGGTAACAAGGCCCACAGAACATTGGAGGACTATGCAACCACAGCTTACATGTAAACCTTGCCTTGTTGGACAGGAAACGTCCTGGACTGTGGTATTCCAATAGGGAAGGGCTCAGTAGCCCAAGCCTATCTGTCCAGCTGTGCCCAGTTCTGGGGCCCCCAAGCCGAGAAAGACATTGACCTGTTCGGTCGAGTTCAGAGGAGGGCCACTAAGCTGATCCCAGGGCTGGAGCAGCCCTCCTACGAAGACAGGCTGAGAGAGTTGGGAATGTTCAACCTGGAGACAAAAAAGCTCTGGGGAGGCCTTAGAGCATCTTCCGTTACCTTAAGGGTCCTTACAAGATGGCTGGGGAGGGGCTTTCCACAAGGGCATGTACTGATAGGACAGTGGGGAATGGACCTAAGCTAAAGGAGGGTGGGCTTAGCTGAGGTGTAAGGATACTCTTTCCTGGAAGGCAGTGTGGATGCCCCATCCCGGGAAGTGCTCAAGGACTGGGTGGACACAATTCGAGTGTGCCCGGGAAGCCGATGGCCCTTCCTGTCCCGTCCCTCCCTCCCGCCGCTGTCGCCTCACGGTCCCGCCGGGGCAGGCGGGGCGGGGGGGCCGAGCGCGCCCCCTGCCGGCGGCCGCGCTCACCGCGCTCACCGCCGGGCGCGCCCGGCCCCCCCGCCCCCGAAACGGCGCTCGCCCCGCCCCCACGACGAGCCCAGGCCCCGCCCTTCATTTGCATAAAGCGCGAGCCCTCCCTCGTCTCGCGGGCGGCGCGCGCGGCACGGATGAGGCGCATGCGCGCGGTGGGCGGGCGCTGGGCCGGCGGTGCGGCCAGCGGGGGGCGGGTGGCGCTCGGAGCCGCCGGTGGGGGCGGCCGGGCCGGGGCAGCTGCGGAGCCCTGGGGGGCGGGCAGCGTCCAGCAGGGCTGGCGCGGGGAGTCGCGGGGCTCGCCGCAGCAGCTGGCGGAGCGGTACGCGGACCTGGCGGCCAGCCACACCGAGGCGCTGCGGCAGCGGGAGGAGCGCGAGTGGCAGAACGCGCGGCTGCGCCAGGAGAACGCGCGGCTGCGGGTGGAGAACCGCCGGCTGCGCCGCGAGAACCGCTGCCTCTTCCGGCAGACCCTGCTGGCGCCCGGCCCGGACAAGCCCCCCGGCGAGCCTTGCGAGGAGGCGGAAGCCCTGCGCGCCCAGCTGGGGCGGCTGCAGGAGAAGCATCGCCGCGCCCTGTGGCACCTGCGGCGCTGCCGGGCCGCCGGCGGGCAGGAGGCCTCGGGAGGCGAGGACGGCGAGTTGGACGAGCTCCTACTGGAGGAGGACGAGCAGTCGCTGGATAAGAAGAGCCTGGTACCGCCCGTGTAGGCGGCCCCGGGGGAGGGGGCGGCGGAGCCCTCCCTGCCCGCGCCCCCGCTGCCTGCCGCCCTCCCTCAGTCGAAACAGGCCCTTCCCAGAGGAAGGATGGGGGAGGAGTTCGAGTTTCAGTTTACCTGATGCGTATCCGGGAAGCATTGGCCGTGTTCGAAGAGAACCGGGTTCATCTGGGAAACCGATGCTTGGAAGACGAGAGGAATGCCCTCAAAGCAGCTGTTGTCATGGAGAAAACAACCGCCCTGAAGAGAATAGATGATCTCTTGTCATCTCGCAGCACTGAACTGTGCTTCCTTTGGGTACCAGCTGTGGATCACCTTCCTTCTCTGAGTTAGTGACTGTCATGTAGGCTTCAAGGGCCATGGAGACTGACAAGTTCTCAATAGTCTCTGTTAGGAAAAGGCGTGAAGGAAGCTGGAAACCTTGCCAGTACACTCATAGAAGTTGGTGATCATTTGAACTATGAATTGCCTTGGACACTGGGTGCAAAACACTATTTGTATTTTGTTCACCATCACATTACTATTGATTTGAATTTCACATTTTCACACAAAACTGCAGCTGATAAAATTATGACACACCAAATGACTGTCTTAAGTGTGATTTTTAACAGGGGTTTATTATAAATTTGTAGATGAAACGCCCTTTAGACCATTGCAGTGTGCCTTCTCAAAACCCAAAGAATTGTTGGGGGGGTTTTTTGCCTTTTTTTTTTTTTTTAATAATTTTTGACCTTAATTATTTACAAATTGGGTAGGAAGTTGTTTTTCAGATCTGTGTTTCATAAGAAAATTTACTGTTTGAAGGAAACCATTTTAAAGAACTGGAACACAGGTTGGTTTTGTAATGTTCCCTCACTTTTGTTTTTGTCATTTAAAGGCTTTCTGGTGCTTTCAAGTTTGAGATTGGTTTCTTAAAGCTCTAATAGCCAAGGTATGTTTCAACTTATAGTTAAAACTAATGTAAAAAGGTGAAATCGTTTGAGAAAAGTAGTTATTTCTTTAAATAATGTCAACATAAACCTCCAATCATAAAATGACTGCACTGCTTGTTAAGTGGATCTGCAGCCTCAAGTGCATTCTCAAAATGGAAAAACAATTTGGCACAGGGAAGTCATACCTCCTTAATGAGAAAGTGTGGGTGGTGATGTTTCGTTGTGTTTGGTTCTTTTATAAACTTAAGTATTCTCAAAAGACTTGCTAAGTGCTCAAGAACTACCTTTCCAATCTGGCAGGATTGTCTTACTTTATTAGCAGTTTCCTGTGAAATACGAATACCCAAGCAACAAAAATAATCTTGTCAAAATAGGACAGCATAGGACTGTATGGAGATACATGAAAAATACATGATTGTGCCAGGCTTCATTTTCAAAAGTTACAAGTATTGAGCACATATAAAAGAGATCCTGGACTTTTCTAATAGCATATGCAAATTTTTTAATTAAACTTCTGGGACACCTGCATTAAATGGAGTTTTTTTGCAAGAGTACCAAATATGCAGGTTTGTATAAAGGATTTTTTTTCCCTTATATCTTGACAAATTATAAAACAAACTTACAGATTACAAAAAGGGGGGAGGGTGGTAAAGTGTTTTGGTAAGATTCAAATTATTGTTAAGAGTACAAAAAAAATTATTTAAGATATTTCCTCATATTGCTGCTTCCAGATGAACTGCAGTAAATAATTCCTTGATTCAGTCAAGCCGTAAAAGTTTCTTTGAACCTATCATCTGTTTGTTGTATGTCTTTTTTTCAGAGCAAAATGTAAATTTAGGAAAAGGCTTTAGTGAGATGGTGTAAAAAGTAATACTTTGCTACATTGTCTCCCAAGTAATGGTTTGCAGATGGTGGCTTTCCTTCATGACACCCTTCCATGATCCTTGGCTACAGGAAATGACGAATACTGAGACTTACAGGAAAGGTAAACAATCTTTGGGATATAACCGTGTTTCAAGTCTGGATTTGTCTGTTTGACTAGATCTAATAATCAGTAGTTTGATCTCATAGGCATGTTCTGCCAAACCCCCTTAAGCTGATGTTTGGAAACAGGGTATCTTTGGAATTGCCTGATACACTACAGCATCTATACATCTGAAGTGCTGGGAGAAGTGTTACTACACTTGTGTGAAGAGCTACTTTTGGTTAAGGTGTGTTTCATTTTCTAATGTTGTGCTTTCTGTCTGATAAGCAGTCAAATCTTGAAGGTCCAGACTTCGCTTCTTATTCCCAAATCTTGTCTTTAGTTCTGCTTATCGCATTCTGGACTAAGGATAAGTATTTGGCCTTGGTTTTATTCTAATTGTTGTGGTAGTGTCTCCCATCTTTCACTGTCTTGCTGTGATGAGTGTTTCTGCCTCTGGCCTACCTGAATGCTGCATCCCTGGATTTGAAAGAGAGTGCATTGCAGAACAAAATCTGTACAATATACTAAACAAGCAGAAGTCAGAACCATGCTGTCTTGTTCTTTTTTTTTTTTTTTTCTCCTAAATAATTTCAGATCTTTTCTTCAAAACAATTTCAGTTGTATACTGATCATTTTCAAAATTGCCAATCTCAGAACCATATGTTTTTTCATGTTTTTGATTCTAGGTTTTGAACACCTATCTCTTTGTAGTTATTTGGAAACAGGAAAACAAACTTTTGTTAACACAAATTTCTGAATATGGGTGTGTTATTCTCCTATTTGAAAATGGTTTTGCCTATAATTAACTTTTAGTGCATAGTATTTCATTATACGCTGAATCAGAGTTCTGTATTTGAGTGATTTTGTAGAGTAAATGTACTTGGATAAAAAAAAAGGTAAGTTTTTTATCAGAGAATGGATTGAATTCAGTTTTGGACTTGATGTTTGCCTGTTTGGCGTTTTGTTCAGTTTTTGGTTTTTTTTTTCCCCACATATAGAAGTATAACAATATATAAAATATTAGGCAATAGTATCTTCCTATGACTTTGTTAAATTGCAGTGCTTACAATCTCAATACATAGTCTCTTAACTTGCTTTGGCATATATAAATTTATAGAGGCAAACAGAAGCAAAAATCTTCATTGCTATCAATGAAGTGAAAGGCTATAATAAAATTATTTTCTTTTATTTCATAAGGAAATGTTCAGTCTTAGCTGCAGACTTTTCCTTACCCTTCTGTCCTGTGCCTCAATGTTAGGAAATTGTTATGAAATACATGTTAAAAAGAAAGCTATATGTATGGAAGCTATATTGAAACTGTATTAAAATCTTCTATGTCCATGTGTGAATTTGGTGATGATTACTTTAAAACACATGCATATGAATGGAATGGCTCAGTATTGGTGCCTAATTTAAGTTTCATTAAATATTGCACTCTGAAGGAGTCTTTGTCCGCTGTGCTCATCTCCTTGCATGTGCTCATCTCCTTGCATGTGCTCATCTCCTTGCATGTGCTCATCTCCTTGCAGTGCTTTAGCTGCCCACAGAGAATAATGAAATAAATGTCTTTGTATGATAAACTAATACCATTCAGCTACTTTCCTACTAAAGTAGTCATCTGTTACTCTTCCCTTTCCATCTATCTCATTGTGTTCAGTATCCCCTTCTGAGTTTGTTCAGTTCAGTAATGACATTTGCAAGGTGTAGAAAAAGCCTCTGTCCCAGAGTTGCAAATGACTTAAAGTAGTGATTTAAAGCTGAATTTTTTGTGATCACAAATCAACAATATACAGGCCTTTCCTGTATATTTTTAAGTCATAGCTAGTATCTGTATTATTATACTGGGAAATATGGGTGTAGCTGCCCTGGGTACATTGTTCTGCGGAATATTCAGATTGCATTTACTACCACATCCCTTCCGAAATAAAGCCCTGTATCATTCAGAGACTAATAGCAGCATCTGATCTTTTTAAAAATCCTTGTAACCGGTATTATTTCATGACTTTCAAGGCCATTTGTTTGCTCTTTGTTCTTGTCAGAAGCATTCTTTGTACGGTCAGAGTGTAGTTGTAGCAGAAGAGAAGATAAAAAGCATTACATTTAGAGGGCATAAAGAGGATGATTTAGATCTAGCTTTTTAGGAGGGATTATGATATAAAGCTGGGAAGATGGGAAAATTGGTTGGATAATCCAGAGAAAGTGAACATTTTTAGAAAGAGAATTTTTGAGGAAAGATGTGGCCATCAAATAACAGCTAATGGAATTATTATATCTATATATATTGATGTATTTTTAATGAATAAAAATATTGAATGCAAAGTTTAGATAATGGAAAAGATTAGCATTGAGAAAAAATTCAACTGTGTCATGCACTGGCATGTCTTTGAAGTGAGGGCAAGCTTTGGAGAGCTGCTCTACAAAAAATCCTTAGCCCCTGCTGAGATTATTAACAGTAGTGCTCGTTAAGGTTAATTTATTTCATGGGAAAATTTTTGAGGGCTAGAAGATTGAGCAACTCCCTTGTATAAATGCTGCAGAATTTTCAGTGACTTCAGGTGCTTCCTGTAGTGTTTGCAGTCTGTCATCTGGATGAGTACAACTCTTAACCACCCTGTGCAGTATTGGTTCAATAGTGGAGTGAGCCACCATCATCCAGCAGCATCCAGGTGCTATGCTTTGACAAACTCACTTCCAAGAGCATGACCCAGCCTGATGCTGATAGTGTGTGAGAGCTTAAGGCATAGCCAGAGGTGAGGCGGCTGCAAAGCGATGGCTGCCTACAGAAATACAGGGGTACTGAAATAACTGTGTTTGTGCATGAATTGTAAATACTTAGCTGTGTCTGTGTTTCTTCTCCTATGAAGGACATAGTAGTGTTTTCTATTCTGTTGTCAGAACCACGTCTTTCTAGACGTTTGTTAATTGTTCTTTATGTTGAAGATGGTCAAATCATTCTACTTAGCTACTGAAACACCTCAATCCCAGCTGCAGCTTTTATGACCTATAATTTTGAAATTTATATTTGTTTTCATTCAGAAGTGATGATTTTTTTGGCTTTTTTTTTTTTTTTAATTAATCAAAAATCTTACCTTGCTTTTACATTTTGAGGGAGTTTTGCTGCACTGCACTAGTGAGAAAGAGGCATTTCAGGGTGTGTGCTGTAGAATTATTTAGAATCATAGCAGTGTACTTGACATGTTTTCCCAAAGACTTAAATTCAATAAGTAAAATGCAAAAAAGCAGAAGTTTTCAAATAAATCCTGTAGAATATTTTGCTTTTCTTCTTGTTTTAGGGGTTTTTTAGTGATATAAAAACTGTCAGTTCAACAACAGTTAAATATTTTATTACTCTGCATGAGAAATATAAGTAACTGGATATACTTAAGGGCTCCTGCACATAAAATCAAAAATAAGGCACTAAAAACACCACTGATGCTCAGAAATCTAAGTATAACATCCTTACTTCCAAAAGCAGTCCCAGAAGACACTCTTCCTTTGTCAGAGAAAGGTTTTGCCTATTTTACTTTTTAAATCTCCGTTTATCATGAAAGAAACATCTGCAAAAACAGTGTAGAAGTAAAATTTGACACTGTATGTTTGAGTCTTGTATGGCAGTGCTGAAAAGGGCGTGAGCAACTGGAGGGGTGTGCATGAAAAGCTGCTCACCTCTTGGATATGAGTAGATGT